TTACGGCGGTGTAAATTTTAATCCGTTATGTCAATCCGTTTTATTTTAATCGGCAGTTGAATTACAGATTTTGAAAACACGGTTAAAATTAATTATTTCTTGCTATTTAGTAATTTCGTAATTAAAGAAATTTTTTCTTTTGAAAAATTTTTGATATAAAAAAATTTGGTGGATTTCGTTGTTAAAAGCACCGTATTTTAATATAAGTTTTATAATTATGTCACCATTCGAAATGGAGAAAATTGCTTTCGAACACAGACCGTCTACAGACCGGCTTGCCGACATATAAAAACCCAGTTTGTATTTTTGACCGTCTGCAGACGGGATTGCCGGTTCTTAGGTCAACATTGTGTAAGGGAAAGGGGAAAATATGTGTAAGTATATCGGCGAGCCCATCTCCAGACGGTCTTGGTTTTTCTCCCCTGTAGGAAAAAGTTACTGTCACAGATCGAAATGGACATCATTTTTGGATTTCTCGTGCTAAATTCACCCATTCCTAAATGTTTCAACTCATAAAAAAATTGGCCTACTAGAGGGTTAAACATATTCAAACATTTCATAATCCAATAGAATATAAAACAAGCTTCCATTTGATATACAACATCATGTCTTCAGTCCTTACTATACTGTGTTGCGAAAGAAAAGAGGCAGAACACCTTTTGCAGAGAACACCCTTCTGCGTAGGCGGCCTTCGGCTGCAATTAGGGATTATAACCCTCACTAAGTAGGAATTCTCCTTTCTATGTTGCCGGAGAAGAGGGCATCTTATGTGAATAAACTACAGTAAATGTAAGATTATCACTTGCTCGTAAATGCATTTAAACATTCAATTATCACTGAATTCTTAAGCTTCAAAAGCAGATCATAATAAAATATTTATACCAAATTAAAGGTAATAACTTTTTTTTCTCAGTTGTGTAGATTTCTTTAGCATTAATCACGTCGTTTTTTCAAAAAAGGTTATTTTATAAAAAAATAATGAATTTTTTTTAGTTTTTTAATATTTTGGGCTTTAAGATATGAAAAATATATTAATTAGATACATGAGCTAACATATTACGTTTTTAATCGGTTATATGGTTCAGAAGATATTAATATTTAAAAAAATCTAAAAAATAACTTTCAACACTAAATATCTTGAAAACTAGAAGGCCCCGACCCATAAAAGTGGGTATATTTGAAAAGCGGAGAAGCCCAGCTTTCCAATGGCAAAGTCAAAATTTGTCGCCCCGGTTATCGTAATCTCCCCGGAAACTGAACGATAGTGGAGTGTGATCGTCGTACATTTCCATAACTAACGTAATTCTTCTTACCATTTTTTCTGGCAGGCTGTAGGATGGTGGAGTGTGATCCATGATAAAAACATAGCAAGGTAGAACCGTTCTCTCAATTTGTCGGCCATGATTTTTTTTTGAAGTTTGCCAACATTTTAAAATCATATAAAAGTGAANGCCTGAGATTGAAAATGAAAATGTGTGTGAGAGTTTGTGAGTAAATTTAAAAATTAAAGTGTTTGGAAACGTCAAGAATTTTAAAAGTGACTCTCAGCGGTTCTACCTTACTATATTTTTATCATGGTGTGATCATCGTACAGGTCCATGAACCAACGACTAGAGATCACCTAATCAACCATCGTTGTTTTTGTAATCGATTTTCAGAAAAAAGTTTTCATAGCGTTTTTGACGTTTTTCGGTTTTATTTACACCGTCTTCTACCTCTTCGTAGTAATTTTTTAGCGATTGAATGTGTTTTCTGCAGCGATTTTAATTATAAATTTTGGTTTATTACATATTTATGATATAAAATAAAGTGCTGTGTGATCGGAACAAGTTTGTGCGTATGTTTGGTTTGCCAAAAGGCGTAAATTTGCGTGAAAAGTGGGTGCACGTTCGTGGCCAGAACATTATATAGATTGGCGCTTACACATATGTTAGTGTTTGGTCGAGCTTCTTTTCCAATTTGTGGCGTGCGCCTTAATGTTGTCACACAAAGCGGAGGGACCTACAGTTTTACGCCGACTCCGAACGGCGATTGTATTTTTATGAGAAGCCGGTTTTCATGGCAGAAATACACTCGGAGTTTTGCCATTGCCTGCCGAGGGGCGACCGCTGTAAAGAAAAAAAACCTTTCTTTTCTTTTTCTGAGATGTTGCTTTGGCCAGGTCTTGAACCCAGGCGCTGCGGAGTGGAAGCGCGCACTGCTTACCACTACACCACAGCGGCCACCAACGACCACGGCCAGAACATTGACANCGTCTTCTACCTCTTCGTAGTGATTTTTTAGCGATTGAATGTGTTTTCTGCAGCGATTTTAATTATAAATTTTGGTTTATTACATATTTATGATATAAAATAAAGTGCTGTGTGATCGGAACAAGTTTGTGCGTATGTTTGGTTTGCCAAAAGGCGTAAATTTGCGTGAAAAGTGGGTGCACGTTTGTGGCCAGAACGTTGGCATTGAAAAATCGACCCGTGGTAATGATATGCGATTGTAAAACACTTTCAATCATGAAAACCATATTTTATGAACTTTTTTTGCTAATTGTCATCAAGTTTCACTTTGTATATTTTATAATAAAGGTAATTCTCTAGGGTGGGGTAACAACCCCTAAAAAATCCGGACGGGGGGGAGTAATATTATTAACCATTTAAAAGTTATGAACAAAAAACTTTTGTTAAATTTCGTTGAATGCACTAAATCACCAGTTTCCACTTTTAAAACACTCCTAAAACGTTTCCGTTATTCACTTTTATTTTATATATTTCGTTAATAAAACAGAGTAAACACACTGCGCCTGCTAAAATTATTATAACCTCAAATCGCTGGTATTGCCACTTTATTTCACATTTCATTTGCGCTATTATACTCAGTTTACACTATACACTTCTTCTTCTTCTTTTTACTTTCATCTAAATAAGATATTGTAACCAAAATATAATAGCAAATTTCGCTATACCATGGTAGCGCTACTTTACGGTTTACAGTTATTTTAGCTTTAATTAAAAGTAAGCGTCATGGAGTGTCAAATGTGCGATTTTACAATTACAAGCTTTTTAAAGCTAAAAGGAAAAGATTTGGAGGAGTTTTTAGTGGCTCATGGGGTCATGAGAGACTCTATTATTTATCGAAGTGTTGATTTTTATGAAAAAAGCGCCGCAGGCAAAAATTTTTATTAAAAAATGGAGCGATTTTTTATTAAAAATTTTCATTATTTATCAAAGTATTGATTTTTATGGAAAAAGCGCCGCAGGCGAAAATTTTGAATAAAAAATCGCGCGATTTTTTATTAAACATTTTCATTATTTATATATAAAACGAAAGAAGATGCCGAAAAGCATTGAACAGTGCACACATCTCATAAGGAAAAGTGAATTATTACGAAATACTAATACAGTGACAGCACTATAGCTATTTTGGAATCTCGCGTTTCAACTGGCAAAGATTGTCAACTTCTTTTTAATTGTAATATAGACGTCTACATTTTGAGACACTATTTGGAACGAACTGTGAACACCCCAACTATTTGGAACGAACTGTGAACACCCCAATTAACAAAATAATCTATCTTAGGTTGATTAAACTATGTGTTTCTTTAATAAATAAGTTAAATTATATATTTTAATAGTGTTTAAAAAGTGAGAACAGGTGATTTTGTGAATCTTTGTTGGTGTAATTGCTCATAGATTGTTATTAGAGGGGCCGAAACGCGTCGTTTGGTACCCCTCCCGACTTTTCCGCACCTTTTTTAGGAGTTGTTACCCCACCCTAGAGAATTACCATAATAAATACCAATTTAATCGCACTCAGTCACCGCGCAGTTTTCGTTTTCTTTGTTTGTTTTCATTTTTAGGCAGATGTCAAAAACGCTCAGAAATATACTTTTTTCTTCTTCTTTGATTAGGTGATCCTCAAGAATGATAGAATACAAGATTGCGCCGATCGGAGAGGATTATTGAGAATAACTTTTGTGTGACGTCACACTGGTGCAATTGCGAGAGAGAAATGCCAAAACGTGAGCAAGAATGGAAGAAGAAGAAAAAATGTTGCGTCATGTAAACAACGATTCTGTCAAATTCGTTAAGAGTGGAATAGCGGTCCGAGATCGGCGCAACCTTTGTATTCTCTCAATCGTGGGTGATCCTGTATTTTTGGTTTATGGTACAGTTCTATAACTAACGTAACTCTACTTCTTACCATTTTTTCTGGCAAGCTGTAGGTATGTTTTTGGTTAGAGGTTGCGGTTTTTGGTTCACTGTGCTAATGTATTTTGTATAAATTGTTACAGAAATGGATTACATTGTAATAGAAATGAAAGAAATTGTAAAAGACAGGTGCAAATGCCTAAAACAGGTGATCTCAGCAGTAGGGATTTTTTGGCAATTAGCTGTTAGTGCTTTTACTTAGCCAACTGTACAATGATTGTAAGGCAGTCTGTACACGGGCGTATGGATTAAGCCGCCTATTAGATGCTACATACGAAAGTTGTACGCTTTGATGCCGAACCCATGTATTTAAATGCGAGAGCTGCACACGAGTCGTCAGCTCCACGAATCCGTCAAAACAAGATAGCTGCAAATCGTCTGGCGTACTGCAGTGTTGGTAGCTAGGCATACGTCCGCTTAGAAAAGAGTAAGAAAAAGAAGTTTGTTTAGAATTTCCCATGTGCGTGCATGCATTTCATAAAAAAACGGATAAAACAATAAAATTCGTGCAAATGATTGAAAAATAGCAGAAAATGTATTTAAGAAATAATAATTTTTCATCAATTAACATTTTTGCGTCTCATACTTTGACGCTTTGAAGTCGCTTCGTGTGCAGATATTGAGGCGTAGAGGAATCGGTGCTGCATAAAAAATTTAATACGCGTCTGAATCTAAACGACCAGTGTGCAGACTGCCTTATTCATCATTATGCATATTGATCGTGAGACGGGGCCCTATTTTTATATTGAACGTGTGACAGGCGTCTTGGAAACTTCAAACTATTAAACATACCTTTTGTGTATGTTTGGCGCGCTAAAATTTAATGTGCTTGGCAGCAAAGTTTATCTTGTGAAATGGATTCTACCTTGGGACGTGGGTTTTATGAGGTATATTGTTCCTCTAAAGAAATACTGAAGAACAAACAAAGGCATTTGTTTTGTAATGTGAGTATGTACAGTATTTAAAGGAAACGATTACTAAATATTGTGTTTTTAGATGTTGGATCTTTTATCCAACACCAGCAAGAGCACCCCATCGCCAGTGATTGCGAAGATAATACCTTCTAATGATTTAATTCGCTTTTGGGTAGATGATGTATTACCTTTAGTTTTCGACGAAGATCTGTCGATACAAGGCTGTGCTGTATCTGCTTTGGAGCAAGGGTTATCGACATTAGAAATTGGAAATATTCACAGCCATAAAGAATGGAATAATGTTAAAAACTCGATTGTTAAGGAATATGCTTGCAAAATACATCGATTGAGGGAAACCCGGAACCAATACTGGAATCGTGTTTGGTGTATACTGATTCGATTGCTTGATCGGGAGATTTTAAAGAGCGCCAGCACTATAAACTTATTTTTGTCCATTGTTGAGCTTGGATTCCGAAGCCCTGATAATAATGTACGTGCAGAAGCTTTTACATGTTGGCATCTTCTTATTCAAATTTTCGCTACTCATAATCAATTGTCGTCACCAAAAAGGCTAAAATTAGTTTGCATACCTCTTAAATCGTCGCAGTCAAAAACTCCATACGTAGCAGCCGTAAAGTTGCGAATCTGGTGGTTCTTGATCACATGCTTGGGTCCACAGATAGAAGAGCATTTTGAAAATGTTGTTGAAGCATTTCTTATATTCTGCTTCGGATTGGAATCGAAAAGCACACCTGGCGTATGTCAGCAATACGTAACAATACGTGAAATGGCATTGACATGTTTAGCTTCCATCGTAACCACAGAGCAAGACGACTTTCTGCACAGACTATTACAGGAGTATGAGATGGAATCATGTAAACGAACACCATACATAAACTCTAATATTATTGATAAACATTGGAAGTCAATATTATATGCTGTACTAGAAGCTACAAGTTTGGTCATCGAAAGTGAAAAACAGAGTGATATTGAGGATCGACTGTTAAATGTGATCATTAAAAGTACAACTTTAATAGTGACTAGGGGTGATATGGCCCCATTATATGAGTATTTTTGTTCTGGTTTAGGGCAAATTATGATAAAAAGTTGCCGGCCGATGATAATAGTCGCCAACGTGATTGCAACCGAAGGACTTCGTTTTTCACATTCATTACTTAATTTTGATAATTATGCGAAAATATTAAATTGCTTGATAAAATTTTTGACATTAATTCGCGAAACGGTAGATGCTGTTACTATTCAGCATTGCACTACCAGAATTTCAAATTTAGAATGCTTTCTACCAAAACGTCTTTGTTGGCGTGCGGTGGAGGTCATAGCTGATTATTTCTTCAAAATGCCAAACGATGAGGGTTTTGAATATTTTGAAGTAAAATTCTTAATATGGCGCGATATTTCATCAGAAATGGTGAATTATATACGTCATAATACATTTGGTCGATCTGCTGAAGAATTTATTGACGTGTTAATATCATGGAGCTTATGGCCTCTACGTATGATAATAGAATTTACTGGACGCCGGGAAAGTTCTATTTTTGATGAACATTTTTATTTGCTATGGCACAACTTGCTTCAACTGACGGAGAGCACAAGTGGTAGAACACAACATTTATTAGACGTGGGCGAAGTTTTAAAGGCCTGTCTAAAATCTGGTTATAAATTGGGAGTTTTCATCCATCTTTTTAATGCATATTCGGAAGAAGTAATGAAACATGATTATCGTGGCTTTCCTATACTCTACGAGCGATTATTTTCAATTTTGTGTGAAGTAATTCAGAAGAAAGTACCCCAAAAAGAGAAGGAAAAACTTCTTACACTGTTAAGATGTGTTCTGCATGGTTTAAAATCTCCAGAACAGAGCTCGTTGATGCAGACAATCAAATCCACACTTAAACATTTCTTACGCAGTTCATCAAAAGGAGGAGTCGGCTCGAAGTTTTTTGAGGAGTGGAAGCAATCTATTATAAATATAGCTCGTTCTTCTATGGATAGAAATTATATAAATATGGTTACAGAATTATTTAAGGATGATGTATATGTTATAATTCCATCAGTATGGAGCCTGAAACCAGAGAAATTGACTGATAGACAAAAAGAACGTTTAGCTGAGAAAAATAATATTCCAGCATTATATAATGACATGAGTCAGTCGCAGGATTCATTAATAAAACCTTGGACTCCGAAGAAATTAGTAATAGCCAAGGAAGATCAAAATGAAATTGTTATAGAGGGTTCAAATAATAGGCAAAAGGAGGGTAACACGAATGTGGCGGAATGTTCCCAAAGTGGCGTTTCGTTTAGCTTACCAAAGGCTTGCTTAGACATGGCTTCAAGTAAACGGAATGTAGAAGAAAAGTTCTTAACATCGATGAGCACTAACAAAGAAAATGTGCAAGACGTTCATAGCAACAACGCAGATAAATTACTTGAGCTACAAACGACTGAAGCGAATCCGAATACATTCTCTGCTGCTGTACAACAAATTAAAAAAAACGAAAATTCACAGCAGGTTAGTAGTTTTTTCGGTCCTATTAATATATTTTTTTTATTTATTCAATATATGATGTACATTTTACGGACTATGGTATTAGATACAAATGTACATAATTCATTAAAAAAAATTTAAATCAATTATACCTCAGACTTAGAATAACAAGAATCAGGTACGGACATAAATATAAATCTTAGCGATGAAAAATCAATATCTAGTGTTCTATAGACGTTAATAAACTCTCTAAAGCGTACCAAAGATTGAGGTACGTGGAACTGCGAAATTCTGTGAGGAATATAGAAATCTATCTGTACAATAAGACCAGGGAAGTCAATTCTCCCAGATATCGGAATAATGGGTCGATTATCGATAGCAACTGAACTTCAGTTGCATTGCTAGTTGCCGAAACGGTGCCCCTATTCGGAAATGCAGTAAACCAAAGCAACAGTGCCTTACTTCTAAACCATAATTGCTGGAAAAGCCCAATTTGCGCAACTAAGTTCGGATTCGACATCCACCCGCGTTTGCTCATATTGCACATTTTTATCAATTATAGTTCAGATTTAAAGAGACTGATTGTTGTTGTTGTTGTAGCGTCACTACTAAGCCCCGCCTTTTTCGGGTCTACGTTCAATCATTTTCATCAAGCTCAACTAACGGGAGGCCCAGGAAACGAGCTGTTTCAATGGGTTCGGACCAGAGGGAGAGGGGTGTTAGCTGAGGCCTAACCCCACCCCCCTCATTAAAGAGACTGATGCTTTGTTTTGCTGCAGTTCCGAATATCCCCGATATTCTTCTTGTACTACATACTATACTAGTTTATATTTTTTATCATTATTTCGAACTCGTTTCTGTTCCTTGCCTATTAGTTCTCTTATAGTTTTAAGGCCCATTCATTCTTTTATGTTGTCCAACTATGTAATTTTGCTTCTTCCTGCTCCACTGCGTCCTGCGATCTTGCCCTGTATTAATAGTCTTAAAACTTCATATTTTTGCCCTCTTATAATTTGTGCTAAATAGGCAGTTGTCCTTTGTTTTATCTCTTTTATCAGTTGTCTCGTGGTCTCGGCTCTTTGTAGTACAGTGTCATTGGATATTTTATCCGTCCACTTGATCTTTAGGATCCTTTTGTAGCACCACATTTCAAAAGCTTCCAGTCGATTTATGCTTTTGCTTTTTAGTGTCCATGTTTCGCATCCATATAAGAGAGTCGACCACACATAGCATTTAACAAATCTGATTTTCAACTTAATCGCTATATCTCTACTAGTGAGTCTCTTCCTCACGTTATTAAATGCTGCTCTTGCTGCCTCTATTCTGCCGTTGATTTCATTGTCATACTCCCACTTGTCATTCAGCCAACTGCCCAGATATTTGAAGCTTTTTACTTTTTCTATGTTTGTATTATTTAATGTCAAATTAACATTAGAGTAGTCTTGCCCACTTTTATTTATAATCATGAGTTTTGTTTTTTGAATGTTAATGTCTAATCCAAATTGTGTGCTATGCCTTTCCACTTTGTCCAGTATTCTTTGCAGGTCTGCTAAATTGTTTGTGATCGGGGTTGTGTCGTCAGCGTATCGAATATTATTGAAACACGAGCCGTTATGCCAGTCTCGTCACGTAGAGCATCTTCGAAAATCCTATTCGAATGAATTATGAAAAGGAGCGGCGACAAAATACAACCTTGTCTAACTCCTCTCTTTACTCTAATTTCTTCTGTTTTATTGTCCCCGAATCGGACTTCTGCTGTTTGTCTCCAGTGTAAATTTCGAATACATTGAATGCCATATTGGTTTGTGTCTATCGATTCTAGTGTGTCTATTAGTGTGCGGTGCTGGACTCTGTCAAAGGCCTTTTCGTAGTCCATAAAACATAAGAACACATCTTGGTTGGCGTCTTGGCATCTCTATACAAACATTTGTTCACTGAACAGCGCTTCTATTGTTCCCATGCCTTCCTTAAACCCGAATTGCGTCGCTCCCATTAATAATTATATATCCGTCTATGCATAATTTTTAAAAATATCTCATTAAACTAATGAGCCGGTAGTCTTTACATAGCTTTACGTTTGCTTTCTTCGGAAGCGTCACGAAGGTCGATTTAAGTCATGAGAGGGGATATTCTCCAGTTTTGTATATGTAGTTAAAAGTTTCTAGTAATACATTCATACCTTCGCCGTCAATTAGCTTTATTATCTCCGCTGGTATTTCGTCCCACCGCTTTTTCTTTTTTGACCTTTATTGCATTGATTATCTCTGACTTTGTTATTTCCAAAAATATTTCATCGGTTACGCCCCTAGCTGGTATACTGTCTTCCCTCGAATCGTCCTTGAAGAGTTCGTTCACATATTCCCTCCATAGTTGTTTTTTTCCTGCTTCGTCGATTATTAATTTATTACCTTTAACTGTTAAAATATTTATTCTAAGTATTACGTTTTTTGTGTTACGAAATTCTTTTAGTTTTTTGTGTAGGTTGAAGTTATCATGTAATTTTTCTTAGCGCTCTATATCTTTACATTATTTTTTCGTCCACATATTTTTTGCTTAACGTATTTTCCATGTTGTTGTTGTTGTAGCGGCTACAACAACTCCGCCCAGATCGGTTGATATATCAGTCGTTGCCGTCAAGTTCCACCAACGGCAGCCCCAGGAAGCGTGCAGCCTACACTGGGTCGGTCCACAGGAACAAAGCCGTTAGGGTTCATGAGGGGTCTCTCCGCATGCCGGACACTCATTCGGCACATCCGAGTTCAGTCTGCTCAGGTATGAGTTTAACCTGCTGCAGTAGCCAGACCGAAGTTGGGCTGTTGTGGTTCTTGTCTCCCGAGGCAGATGAAACTCCGTCTCGTCACTGTCCGGTGGTTGTGTGCCTAGAACGGCATTCACAGGTCTAGAGTCTACATAACTCGAGACTGATTCCCTGTGAATGCCGTTCAGGGCCTGTCGGTATGCTGACGGGTCCAGAGGCTGCTTAATGAACCTCTGGACTTCGTCCGTCAGTTCGTATAGACGCCTCCTGACGTGCTTAGGCGAGGGCTCCTCTGCAAGCAGCTGTATGTTTGGGTGGCCACATCTGTGGCTCCCAACCAGAAACTGCTTGCAGAGCATTATGTTATGCTCCTTGACCGGGAGCATTTTTGCCTCGTCATGCAGGTGGTATTCTGGCGACATCAGGAGGCATCCAGTCGCTGTCCTGAGTGCGGTGTTCTGTGTTGTCTGTAGCTTCATCCACTGCGTCCTACTAGTCCCCGGCGACCACACTGGTGCTGCGTAGGTTAAAAACGGCTGGCCTATTGCCTTGTATGTTGCCAGCAAAGTTTCTTTGTCTTTGCCCAAGTACTGCCGGCTAGCGACTTGAGGACCTTGTTGCGGCTCTGTACTTTATTGACAATAGCGGTTGCGTGCGCAGAGAAGGAGAGCAGGCTGTCGAATGTTACTCCGAGTATTTTGGGGTTATTCACCGTCGGAATTGTTGTATCATCGACGTGAATTCCCAGCGGCAGCCTGACCTCCTTCGTCCAGGTGGCGAACAGGGTCGCAGATGATTTCGTAGGGGAGAGGGCTAGACACTTTGCAGTGAAGAAGCGAGAAAGTTCGGAGAGATACCCGCTTACTTTCTAACACAGGTCATCAATTCCATTCCCAGTCGCCATGATCGAGCAATCGTCGGCGTAAGAGACAATCGAGACTCCCTCTGGTGGATGAGGCACCACCCTGTGGAACCCCTTGTTTTATTTTCCTGAGTTTACTCGATTTGTCTCTAAGCATTACCGACGAGTGTCGACCACTCAGATAATTTGCCGACCACCGTTTGAGTCTCTGTGGGAGAGAAGAAGCCTCTATATCTTCTAGTAGCGTGGAAGGGCTGACGGTGTCAAACGCCTTTGACAAGTCCGACGCTACTAGAATTGTTCTCTCACAGGGACGGTTACGGTTAAGGCCACGAGTTATCTGAGTGCTTATGGCGTTAAGTGCGGTTGTTGTACTGTGCACTTTACGGAAACTATGCTGATGCTTCGCTGGGGTCAGGTGGTTCGTGAAATACGGGAGCAGCAAGGCCTCAAGTGTCAGCCAAGAAAATGGGTGACTGCCATAAGTGCAAAGGCCTAATACGCGGTGAGAGTGGAATCCGCTGTGNCTTTTGACATTTATTCTTCTTCTTCTTCTGCTAGCTAATTTCTGCTAGTAAAAATTTCACTAGCAAGAATTTGCAGCTCTCTCGTGTTGTTACGCTCTCGATTCAGTGCTCTCTTGCAAATTTTTTGGGTTATCATACACTTTTCCAGTAAAAATTTGCAGGTTCCAGTACAAATTAGTACTGACTACAATAATGCACCAAAAAAAGCAAAGATCGAAATTTTTAGAAAAATTGCCAAAAATCACAATTTTTACTTACGTCCACAGTATTTTTGCGTAGAGGTCATGGGTGTGAAAGGTCGTGTTATAGTTAGTTCCGCGAAGTTTTTTAAATTCAGCGGTTTTTATTAGCTTAGCGCGATTTCAAATGCAAATAGCGATTCGTATATATAAGTATAATCGGAAAGTGAATTTTTCTAAATAACAAAGTGATAGTGACACTAGTTTAAGCAAATCAAATTAAATTAATGTATACTTTGACTAAGAAGAAAACGGTGAAAGTGAAGAAAATAGTGACAGGCGAAAAGGNAGAAGCCTCTATATCTTCTAGTAGCGTGGAAGGGCTGACGGTGTCAAACGCCTTTGACAAGTCCGACGCTACTAGAATTGTTCTCTCACAGGGACGGTTACGGTTAAGGCCACGAGTTATCTGAGTGCTTATGGCGTTAAGTGCGGTTGTTGTACTGTGCACTTTACGGAAACTATGCTGATGCTTCGCTGGGGTCAGGTGGTTCGTGAAATACGGGAGCAGCAAGGCCTCAAGTGTCAGCCAAGAAAATGGGTGACTGCCATAAGTGCAAAGGCCTAATACGCGGTGAGAGTGGAATCCGCTGTGAAGGTATATGCGTCAAAGTGTTTCAATGGGCAAAGAAATGCTATGATCTCGATGAGTACAGTAAAAACAATGCCTATGTGCGCTTTATGTGTGATGGTTGTGTCACATATATGCATAATATTGATGAGGTGTTGCGAAACATGAATATCTCTATAGAGAATAATAGTAAAAACATAAAAGAGTGTAAAGACGACTTTCAAGAGTCGCAAAAAATGCGGGTTAAACAGTCAAAGCTCCTTTCAGAAGCTATAGAGAGGAAATTCGGTGAGCGTATAGATTCAATGCAAAAAGTTCAAAAAATATGCGAAACGAGCATAGCTGAGGCCAATAAGATGGAATCTCAGTCATCGACTAACTTTCGTTGCCTACGGTTGTGTCTTTGTGCGAGCGTATAGTTGTGTTTAACTCTGATATTAGTGTACAAACCGCTACTTAAGCACATATTAATATTTGTTATTGTATATTTTTCTCATACACGTGTTTCCTACGTGAAAGTGAAAAGTAGTTAATTGTAATCGGGTAAAATGCCCCATGGGGCCCTTAATCTAGGGGACAATAGATTTGCCTCTCTGGCAAATAGTCCCAAAGCTAAAAAAAAAGCGTACAAACAAATCTTTAAACGATTTCCCGGAACTTCCAACCTCCTCAATCCCCTTTGAAAACCCCAAGTATGTAGTGATTTCGGCAGCAAATGATAAAAAACCATTAACGCAGTACTCATGCTTTGCAGTACATAGGTCGTTAAAAATTATCAGCAACGAAATTGAAAATATTTCAGAACTCCGAGACGGAAGTCTGTTGCTTCTTGTAAAGAACAAGACTGTCGCCAATAAGTTCATTGCAGCAAAAAATCTGCCGGGTTTATGTGAGATTAAATGCAAATTTCACGATAACCTAAACTACGTCAAGGGCACGATTTACGCCCCATGCTTAAGCACTATCCCCGATGAAGAAATTGTTAGAGAACTCGAATCCCAAGGTGTCGTAAGCATATATAAATTCACTAAGCTTATAGACGACAAACGCCAACCTTCCGGCGTAGTTTTACTGACTTTTGATTCCTACCACTTGCCCACGACAGTCGGGTCTACGTAACCGGAACGACCCAGATTTATATCTGGCCAAGGACTGTCACTCCAGCAACACTCCCCAAAAAGTCTTTGGGGAATTTGTATGCTGCTACAACAACAACAACGACAAACGCCAACCTTCTGGCGTAGTTTTACTGACTTTTGATTCCTACCACTTGCCGGAGTCGATCAATGTCTCCTGGTACAAAGTAAAAATCAGGGAGTATATCCCAAACCCGATGAGGTGTAAAAGTTGCCAGAAACTTGGTCACACGCAGAAACATTGCAAAAACAACCCCTCCTGTGTCAACTGCAACTTACCTCCCCACACGCCCGTCCAATGCGTGCGCACAAAGTGTGCAAATTGTGATGAAGAGCACCCCGCTAACTCAAACAAATGTACAAAGTTTTTGCAACAAAAAGAAATTTTAAAAATAAAAATACAAAGAAAATGCTCTATGAAACAAGCAAAAGACATATACAGCTCACAAATACCACGACCAATGATTTTTTCCTCATACTCTAATATTACGCAGAATAGACCTCCAGCAACCACATGTACTTCTCAAAATTCCATAACCCAATCAAAAACAAATAACACCACAGCACCAACAATATTACAAGAAACTAGCGAAACAACATCCTCCAACACAAATAAACCCACTACTTCAAGAAATGCAACTACCAACAACTATAGGTCCACAACCACCAGCAACAAAAGAAACATGACTCAGGTTCTCTCTAACCCCGTCTCCCCAATCTCACAACTTAGCCAAGACCTTTTGCGGAAAAGTGACTATTTTTTTCTATCTCACCTTAATAAAGGTGATTTAGATTCAAATTAAAAAAAGAAAAAATATATTAATTGCCATAATGGTGTTTAATATACTCCATTGGAACATAAATGGCTACTACAACAACTTTAATGAACTCCAATTATTAATTAACGAATACTCACCATCAGTCCTTTCGATACAAGAAACACACTTGCCCGTAAATAAGCACGGCACAACACCCAAAAACTACATTAGCTACTTTCACAATTTAAATCATAACCATACAGGCAAACAGGGCATTGCAGTTATGGTAAAAAAGGATACTTCGCAAAAACAAATACAAATTCAATCTCCTTTATCAACAATAGCCATCGAATTAGATGTAGGGTTCCGTTTCACTATAATCTCCATTTATATACCGCCACATCAAAACTTCAGTCTGAAAGAGTTGCAAGATATTATACGCAGTTTTAACACGCCTATAATCATTACAGGCGACTTAAATGCCTGGAGCCCATTCTGGGGTTCAAACTCCACGAATCAAAGAGGTAAAATTCTAGAAGACTTGATTATGTTCGAAGACCTGATAGTACTAAACGACAACGCACCCACTCATTTTTCAACGTTCAAAACTTTTACCAATGTAGATGTAGTTCTATGTTCCGCCAATCTGGCTCCAAGGCTTAACAGCTCAACATTGGGCCGCCTACATGGAAGTGACCACTTCCCTATCCTGACCAATCTCAGTACACCAAACACTAATTGTGGCAAACCGAAACCAAAATTTTTAATAAACAAAGCCGACTGGAAAAAATTTCAAACATTAACAGACAGCCTAATTTCAAAAACTCCACAAACCCGTAACATTAACAAAGAAGCCAAAAATATTGAGCGAACAATACGAACAGCCGCTCACTTTTCCATTCCCCAGACGCAACATAAAACACAAAAACATATTGTGCCGTACTGGTCCCCACACCTGTCCTTATTGAGAGAAATCAAATTTAAGTCATGGGAATCTTTCAAGAAAGATAGAACGGACTCTAACTTGCTTATCTATAAAAAGGCAAATGCACACTTCAAAAGATCTCTTAAGGAAGCCAAAAGAAAGTCCCTAGCGAAATTCACCACCTCAATAAATCCCAAAACAGACCCTAAACAAGTTTGGGCCAATATAAAAAGACTGACAGGGACTTACAATCCGCAATCAATTAAATTTATCAACAGCAATGATGGTCCCATCTACCCCGCAAAAGATATTGCAGATGTTTTCTGCGCTTCGTGGTCTGAATACTCTAAAGATTCGAATTTCCACAGTGAATTTATCCAGGAAAAATATACTACTTTGGCGAAAGTCTATAAAAACACCAACCTCTCTGCAAGCGCGGAAGGATTGGAGAACCCTATTTCCACATTCGAATTTGAAATGACAATCGGTTCTATGAAAGGTAAGACTCCTGGAAGGGACCGAATTTCTTACCCATTAATAAAAAATCTTTCTGGACAAACAAAAAACAGAGTCGTACACCTTTTTAACGAAATTTTAAACCAAGGAAACTACCCACAAAGTTGGAAGCATGCTATCGTTGTCCCCATACCTAAGCCACACCAGCGCCATACAACCGTTTCAGGCTTCAGGCCCATCTCTCTACTGTCCTGCCTGAGTAAAACCTTAGAGAAAATAGTAGCAAAGCGCTTAATGTGGTACGCGATGACAAACGGTTTAATATGCACCAATCAGTTTGCCTTTAAGGAAGGACAAAATACTTTGGATGCTCTACTTCTATTTGAAAACTTTACAAGAAGAGGTCTAGCTACTAAAAACCATATTTCAGTGCTTATTCTCGATTTCGAGAAAGCATATGATCGAATTGGAATTCATGTTGTTTTAAAAAAGTTATCAGACTGGAAAATAGGCACTAGGATCTACAATTTTGTAAAGTCGTTCTTAAGCAATCGCACTTTTTGCGTCAAAATCAACAACAAATATGCAAAAACCAGAAAGCTATTCAACGGCATCCCACAAGGATCGCCTCTGTCCGTAATATTATTTATCATTGCGTTTGATGATATTAATAAAATATTCTTAAGCCAAAAATCTATTTCTCACATTACTTACGCGGATGATGTATTGTTATTCACGAAATGCAAAGATTTGACGACTGCTCACATTAGTTTTGTAAAAATGTTAAGTGATATTTCGAAATGGTCCAATATCTCTGGAGCTAACATATCCATCACAAAATGTAAAACTATGCATATTTGCAATAAACAAAGATGCACGTCACCAAATCTTACATTTAATTCTCAGACAATTGATAGTTGTAACAGCTTACGTGTATTAGGTATAATATTCGATAAGAAACTTCATTTTAGAGAGCATTGTACATACGTTAAGAAAGAGTTAATTACACGTTTAAATGTAATAAAATATCTTTCCACTAAATACTGTATGGTCCACACCGTTACATTGGTAAATATCGTGAGGGCTTTGATTTTGTCAAAAATAGACTACGGGTTGGTTATTTATGGACACTGTGCGAAACGCAATTTGAAACTTATAACCCCAGCCTACCACACTGCCGCAAGAAGGAGCCTACGCGCATTCCCAACGTCGCCAACTAAATGCATTTTGATGGAAGCAGGACTACCGTCCATTGATGAAAGAGTCCATTTCAACACAAGCAGGATTATCACAAAAATTCTATCTAGCTGCAACACCCTTCTGCAAGATGCGGTCAAAAACGCTGTGACAAGGAAAAGGGAAAGTAGAAACCAAAAATCTGCGGTGGAAAGAGTTGTAGAGGCTGCAAGGACACTGGAAATTCCCATCTCTCTAACTAAAACCAAATTCCATCGACCTCCACCCTGGCAATGTTTCGAACCGATCATGGTACTCAATATGGCTAAATACTCAAAAGTAAATACAGCACCTACAGCTTTTCGGAAAATCTTCCTCGAACTCACCACCCCTTTTAGAGAGATGCAATGGAAACTCTTATATACTGACGGGTCAAAGAATCCCTCGGCAACTGCCTATGCTGTTGTCGACGAATACCAGAACACAATTGCCGCGGGTCTCCTACACCCATTCTGTTCGGCATATACAGCTGAGGTAGTAGCGATTTACGAGGCTGTTAAATTTGCAATCCAATCGAGAGATAAACATGTCATTGTAACCGATAGTCTGTCAACGATGAAATCTCTTTCAAATGACAAAAATAATAATCATTTAATGATTGCCATTAAAAATATGCTCATGGAAAATAAAAACAGAATAAAGATTATGTGGAGCCCTAGTCACGTCGGAATTGACGGCAATGAGACTGCAGATCGTAGAGCGAAACTTGCATCAGAACAACCCCTAGTGACATCAAAATGGATGTTAAAACAAGACATTTATAGGCACATAAGCTCAGTAATGTTCTTAAAAAACAGAACGAGTGGAAAAACATTCGTCATCACTACTCGGATATCAATATAGGAAGCAAAAGCCCCAACCTTCCCCTCGATGTTAGTTGTAGCGAATTAAAGTCATTCATTCGCCTCAGAATCGGACATACAGTCATCTCCCACAGCCACATTCTCACGGGAGCTCCACCACCTCTATGCTCCTATTGCGGTTCTAACCACCTCACCGTCTGCCACTTGTTAGATAGTTGCCCAAACTTCACCGCTACAAGAACGGCACTTTTTGACAATATCAAACCTTCTAGTCTACTAAGGAAAACTGAGTCCGATAAAATAAAATTAGTTAATGAGTTTCTGAAAATTACTGACTTAAAAAAATTTATATAAAGTAAATTCGATATTAACTATAATCATAAGTATATATGTACCCTAAATCGCACTATCCTTAATCTAAACCCATATACTTAGTATAAGAGAGCCGAAGGCCTTGGATGCTAGTGCTCCCATTTTGTGTAAACAAGTGATTCATCACTTGCTTTCAATTAAATAATAATAATAATAATA